TTTGTATTTGTGTTTCTACTCAAAGAGATTGGTCTTTTATAGTAGACTATCCATTAATTGCTTATTAAACATATTATATAAATTATAAACTTTTGAATAGTTAATCATTATTAAGAGATTTTTGAGTGATATTCATTTAAATAGGAGGTTTCAAATGAAGATAGTTTGAGTAAAAATATAAGTTGAATAGCCTTGAGAGTTTCAATAAAAAATGCTAGCTTTATAAAATATACAGATAGATAGATAGATAAAGATCTTTTTAAATATCCTAAAATATTTTAATAGTCCAAACTTGAAGATGAATCATATAGCCCAAACTGAAAAAGCCCGATTTCAAAACAAAATTGCCCAACAGGTTTAACGAATTTAGTTGTTCGATGATACCGACTAGTTGGTTCGATTGATCAGGGAAGAAAGAAAGAAACAAAAGAGCTTAGAGCTGCTCGCCATTCTTTTGTAGCGACACACGCCACTACCCCCTGCTCCTCCCACTTCAGACTTGCAGTATTTTTTACGCGGCTTTCACCGCCACTTCCGGCGTCCGGCAGTCCCACAGTTCCGGCGACTTCCCTTTCCACTTGCAAGAATGAAACACGTAAGCATTTAGCATTTAAGCAAGTGTTTTTTGATTATTTCAGTTATTTCTCAGCTTCTTGAAAACTTAGTTAGTTATTACTTCCCTCTCAAGTTGCAAGAATGAAACAAGTAAGCATTAAGCAAGTTTAGGGTTATTTCATTTATTTGGCATTTTGTTGAAAATTTGAAAAAACATGAAATTATCAATTTTGTTTTTATTTGATTAGGGTTACTACTTAGTTATTACTTGTTATTACAGATTTCTATTTGATTTTAGCAAGGTTTATCTTATTATCTGATCTAATTTTTGTCTAAAAACAGATGATAAGTTTTGTTCATGTTACCAAAGTTTATCAACGTTTTTAACTTTATTTTTGGCCATGTTAGACAACCACGAGTCATTTAAATGCACTAATTCAGGTTTATCAAAGTCTAAGTAGCTAAAATTGTCCCTTGTTTGTGAAACACTTTGAATTTAGGAATAGACAGTTTAAAATTGGCCCAGAAGGTTGGTGATGAGATGAAAACGTAAGATATTGGAATCAAATCCTTAGTTTAGGATACTAATTTTGGTTCTGGATAAACTAATATATCATCCTGCTTTCATTTTGTAAGTGTTGTATCCCCTCTCCATGTGTGTTTGTTTTTTCTTATTAAAGCATGGTACATTGATTAATGATATGTTGGGTACAATCATTTAGTCTTTTCTAATTGCTTCTAATTTCATTTCTTTTTTGTTTCGTTTGGTAAATTAGGGTCATTTTTTTATCATTAATTTCATTTAGTTCATGGCTGAAAATGGATTAAATAGGTTAGCAGTTTTGAGCATTCAAACCCTAGTTCGTACACTTTCCAGTGTTAGCCATCCTTCAAGCAAAGCAATGAGCCCCGAGTCAACCGGTCTTATGTTCCAACTCAGAGTCGACCCGCTCACCGGTAACTCAGAGTGGGTAGTGATTGAAGAAGAAGTCGATGATATATCCCCTAAACCAATGCTGGCTACCACTTCTTACCTTGACATGCTCAATGATGCTCCAAGAAACAAAGCGTATCGTGACGCCATTGATAAAACTGTTACAAAAAACTGTCATGTTCTTGATATTGGGTATGTGATATGTCACTACATTTCCCCTTTCTTTTCTTTATATGTTAAGAGTTAAGACTTAAAGATTTTTCCGCACTTTGTGTAGATCTGGAACTGGCTTGCTATCTATGATGGGTGCAAGGGCTATGGGCATTGCAGGAATGGTGACTGCATGTGAATCATACCTTCCTATGGTGAAGTTGATGAAGAAGGTTTTACGTGCCAATAATATGGATCATAAGATACGCCTTTTCAACAAGAGATCTGATGAGTTACAAGTTGGTGTTGACATTGCTTCTCGTGCTCATGTTCTTGTGAGTGAAATTCTCGACTCACAACTCCTGGGTGAAGGCCTGATCCCCACTCTTCAGCATGCATATGACAATCTGTTGGTGGAAAATTATAAAACAGTGCCTTATAGAGCCACTACATATGCCCAGGTGATTCATTGTTTTTTTCAATAACCATAGTTTATACTTAATACTTAATATATGGGTACCTCATTTTATTTTTGTTTTCTCTCAGTTGGTGGAAAGCACTTACTTGTGGAAACTGCATGATCTATTAAACAATGAAGCAGACATGGAAGATGGAATTCACCTTGTTCCAAAAGGAAAGGAGAATGTTTTAGGAGTCAAACCTCAACAATTTGCTATGCATTGTGATGCAATGGCTGAAGACATTCGACTGGTAGTTGTAAATATATGTATATTTTTTCTTAAAGTTTTATTTTTCCTACTCAGTTTAGTATTTATCCAGCTGTCGGAACCTTTCAAAATTTTTGAATTTGAGTTTTGGAAACGGCCAGACAGTCATGGAGAAAAGGAGGTGTATATAAAGGCAACTGATGATGGTATAGTTCATGCTGTTATCTCATGGTATGTTATTTTGAACTACTGATGGTTTTCTTTATCTATCTATCAAAACATGTCAGATAGATAGACACTTGTACTTTTAATTTTATTTATTTATTTTAGGTGGGTACTTGAGCTTGATGCTGAAGGGGAGATTTTTTATTCCACAGCCCCTAAATGGATAGGTACTAGAAATTGGTGTGACCATTGGAAACAGTGTGTCTGGTTCACCAAAGGGAAAGGTTTGTCCGTATGCAAGGACACAGATCTTTGTATGGAAGCTACTCATACAGAAACCAACATTTCATACGGATTCAAGGCTCAGAGATCATATGTGGATGATGAGGATGAGTTTAGAAGTCAAGACTCTCACATTATTACTCTCTCACCTGAAAGAATTGCAATCTATGGAGATAGCTACTGGAGGCTTTCCATGTTAAAGGCCATAAACCATGCTGTAATATCTCTATCTCCTTCTCAAGTCTCATCAATTAGTGATACAAACATGATGTGGAATTTCATGTGATTGCATTGCAGTTGGAAGAGAAAGAGTCTCCTTTGTGTGTTGTTGCTGATGATAGTGTTTTTTTAACAATCAGCATTGCTCATCTTTCCAAGAGTGCACACATAATATCATTGTTTCCTGGTATTCGGGAGAAGGGTTTCCAATATTTGAAAGCTGTTGCTGATGAAAATGGTTACTCAATGGATCGAGTAGAAGTTATAAGCAACAGGAAACAACAATGGACTATGGATGATACTCATCAAAAGAAGGTTACTCCATCCACATTTTAGAAAAAAGCGCTTCTGTTCACTTTAAGTAACAATCAAGTAGTTTATTTGGTTGTTTTTCCATTAATGCAACAAATAAGAGCTTTTCTTTTAATGTGTACAGGTTGATCTCTTAATAGCAGAGCCGTTTTATTTTGGTGCTGAGGCGATGCTTCCTTGGCAAAACCTGCAGTTTTGGTAAATTTCTTATTTCTCTCTCAAGTAATGCACTTGAACTGAATGGTATTTTTTTTTCTTATTTTGAAAATAATGGTTTGAAGGAGCAAAAGGACGATGCTTGATTCTGTGTTATCTGAAGACGTGCGCATAATGCCTTGCAAAGGAATTCTCAAGGCTTGTGCAATGTCTCTCCCGGTAAGTAAGTGCATGCATGTTTGAAAAAATGGGAATGGATATTATTATTATTATTATTTTTTTAATCCCTATATGAGAAAGAAGTTTTTACATATAAAAAGGATATGAAAGTAGTAATGGTTAATTTGAACCAAATGTAGAAGTAGAACATAAATAAAAGTAATTATTGTTGAGGTTGATTGTTTGATGGAGGTGTAGGATCTGTGGAGAAGTCGTCGTTCCTTAGAAAAGATTGAAGGGTTTGATCACAGTATGAGTGTGGTGAACTCTACTTTAGGAGCATCTTCAAGCGAAAGCCCTTGTTTACCCTTTTTTATCTGGCAATGTGGAGAAGTTGAGGTACTGTTTGTTATTTGTTAAAAAACTAGAATGAATGAATCACATACTCACACTCACACTCACACTCACACTCATGCCATGTAATTATTTGCAGAAACTTAGTGATACATGCACCATTATGGAGTTTGATTTGATGAAACCATTGAGTTCATGCCATGGAAAAGCCAAGGTAAAAAAAAAGTTGTATTAATTTATTAGGGTATGTAATGTAAATATGTAATGAAAGAAAAACAACATACATATATATATATATATATATTTTGTATTAATTTACAGGTTGAGTTTGTAGAGGCAGGTGTGTGCCATGGGATTGCAGTTTGGATAGATTGGGTGATGGATTCAAGTAACAACATTGTCATGTCAACCGGCCCAGGAGGTAACTACTAACATCTAACATAACATGCTATGCTTAATGCTTCCCATCAAAATCAAATATAAAATCAGAATATCATATTTTGCAAAAATCCAATCCAATTAATGTTTTGTTTTGTTTGTGATCAGATTCACGGTTTTGGAAGCAAGGTGTGAAACTATTTGCAGAGCCATTGGAGGTAAGTGTAGGTGGTAATGGAACAACTCTCATTGAAGCGTATTTTGATTCATCCAGTGGCCAACTTGAGCTTTCCGTCAATGTCTGAACCTTGCTCCTTTTTGAATTTTCTCCTCTTGCTGTAATGTAATGTTATGTAGAGTCTGGGTGGGGTTTTCTTTTTTAATTTCTACACTATAAATACTTATTAAACTTTTCCCTTTTTTTAGACCTCACCTGGCTGCAATTCATTTACTTAATTATTTACATCACTAAATGATCTTCATCACATACATTTGCTAATTAATAATATTCTCCAGTCGGTCCCACCACACTCCAGCCCAGTGCAGTTTGCAGTACTAGACACTAGAAAACTGGGCCTTGGCCCATCATGAAAATTCCAGGTCCATCCGTCCTGTCCTGTCCTTTCCTTGTCGGGCTAACTACTTAAATCTTGGGCGGTCGATGCCATTTCAAGATCATGATCACGACTCACGAACAAAGCTTGCAAACCTTCATCGACTTCTGCTGAGGTAGGGCTGACACTTCTCGACACGACACGAAATAAATGGGTTTGGGTTGACTTTTTCAACCCGCCAACCCATTTATTAAACGGGTCATATATGAGTTTCTCAAAAAATAAATGGGTTGACCCGCCAACCCATTTATATTTTTAATAAAAAAAATATATTTTATTTTTAAATGTATTTATGTATCAAGTGTATTAATATTTAATAAGTATTATATAATATATACCATTGATTCATAGACCATTTGACTGTTTTGACATTTTGACTCGTGGTGGATGACCTAAGATCGTAAGTCGTAACCTGTAAAGCGAAGTCTGTAACCATTTTGCCCATTTGCCCTTAGGGGTGAGCATAGGCGGATACCTGGCCAAATTTAGTGGAACCGAAACCGCCAGTTTCTAAAATGTTGGAACCGGAACCGGTTACATCGGTTCCTACAATTTTAGAACCGCTCCCAAAACCGCCGGAACCGGTTCCGGGTACCCGCTTGCTAAAAACTAGGGGTGAGCATGGTGCGGTTCGGTGCAGTTTTTGGCTAAAACCGAACCGAAAACCGCAACTTTGGTTTTTTGAAGTTTAGAAACCATACTGTTCGGTTTGTATGCAGTTCGGTTTTTGCGGTTTTTTATGCGGTTCGGTTTTTTTTTTGCGGTTTTTTGTTAGTTTTTTTTTTATTTGGTTTTGTTTTGCCTTTTTACTAAAACTCAGGTAACTCAACGAGTTACTTTGACTCGGATGAGGAG